CTTTGTATGGGTCTCAAATCAGCTGGAGTGAAAAGAATAGGTTCAGTGTGGCTGGGGGAGTGTGGGGGAGGGGATTCTAGCCAGTCCCGGACTCTGAGGACCCTCTGTTTATTAACTTTTCCAGCATAACATATACACAGTGTATCTTAATGCTCTGTCTAGACAATTTATAACTGGAAGTGAGAGATCTTTTAAAATTGTAAATTTGCTAGAAAATGCGATCTTGATCACCCTAGAACTATTTGTAAATGTTGGTTGAAGCTAATAGTTTCAGTCAGAAGGAAACAAGAATGGACATAGCACTTACCCGAAATATGGAAGACCCAGCTCAGTTCTGATCTCCACCCAATGGGATCTCAACCCATATCTCCCAGAACGGTGTCCTAACCCCCAAGCTAACAGGTGTTCTAGGAAAGACAGGAAGGGTACTCGGTCTTTCCTGTTGACACAGTTTTATTTTGCATCAATAATTATAAATTCACTTGGAGGAGGCAGAAGTGAAAGGAAGGGGTGGGTGAGTGGGACATGAGTCCCAAGTGCTGTATAAAGTGTGGGGGAGGAGCATTGGAAGAGAGCTGCAGAGGGAACCTTACCCTCCTGTCCCCCTTCCCTCTCTGCATCCTCACCCTGTACCTAATCTATGCAGTAGTTCTAGCTCTTCCAGCAGGCAGTAGTGATAGAACTGGGAACACCTACATGGTGGTGGTGAAAGCATACTGTGCAGAGGTGGCAGCCAGCAGAAACCAGGGCAGAACAGGTATGAACCCCAATGTCCCACCTCCCAGCAGAGTGTCAGGTAAGAAAATCATTCTCTACGCTTGTTCAAGGACTGTTTAAACACTTATTCAAAATGGAAACAGGTCAAACTGGATGGATTTGAGAGCATCCTGCCCTGAAATTCAGGACAGGGATTTGATCCAAGGTCTCCCACCTTTCTAGTGAAAAAGCAGCTTAATCTCCGTAGCCTATATATATATATAGTATGCTGTAAGCAATGTCCCTCCATTTGTTGTTGCCGCATTTTGTATAAAATATTTAAATAGTTATTGGAAAAGAGCACATGAATGGAAACCTAGCCTGGTTAGGACACTTCCATGGGAGATGGCACAGCTGGGTTTCAGTCTCTGGTTCAATAAATGTTTAACAATACAAAGTAGAACTTTGTCAACAGGACAATGACTTAAGAACCTTGTTGCAGGGCACTAAGGTGTCCGGCTCCTTTAAGGGTTGAAACTGCTAGGGAGAGAGCCGTAGCAGTCAGTGGGGACCCCCCAGCTGCTGGTTACCAGGGTAGCCAGAATCAGATAGTTGGCCCAACCTGCCAGCGGTCAGCTAGCCAGAAGGGGCAGGGCCGGGCTCATATATAAACCCCAGGGCTGGGGCCAGGAAGGCAGTTCTCTGCCAGCAGCTAAGGTGGAAGGAGCTCTCCTAGGGGAGGCAAAGAGAAGAGGCCTGACTGCAAGTTCAGCTTCTGGTAATGTTAAGGGACAGAGCACACCCTGTGCGACTTGAGTTATGTTATAGCCAAGGGGCTTGCATTTTTTATTTCTGTTTATAAAATTAGTGGTTTGGGTGAGGCTACTGGGGAAGGAGGAGGCCTCATTGGGGGCCTACTACAGCGTAGGGGCCCTGGCGCCAGAGAGAGTGCAGTATTCAGGGTGCACAGGACCCGGCGCCAAAGAGGGTGCAGTATTCAGGGTGCACAGGACCCGGCGCCAGAGAGGGTGCAGTGTTTGGGGGTGAACTGACCCGGGTGTGGGCGCAAAGCAAGACAGGGCTGTGGAGAGCCCAGTGACAACCCAAGGCCGGGTGAAATCAAGGCCTCAGTGGGACTCTGTGGGAATACCATCTGCGAGGCTTGGGGCATGGTAAAGGGGCGGTTTGGAGCCACGCATATAGCCCATAAGGCTGGGGGTGTCCCGAGACATCCATTTTGGAATGGACCCACAAGGGGTCCAGGAACCCTATTTATTATAATCACATCAAGACGCAGTGGGTGAGACTAGAGGGTGCCCATTGGGCTAAATTGGCACAGTCTAGGGGCCCTAGGGGTAACACGGCCATCCTTGGGGACCCCATCCCATGACAAACCTCCACCCAGAATACCCTGTGGCCCACTGGCTAAGACAGGCAGAGGAAGAACCTGAACATCTGTCTCCAACCTCCTGAAGTATGTTCTCCAATGTCTGAGCTTGGGAGTCAAAGAACACCTCTAACAGAAATCTAGCCCTATTTTTCTTAGAAGTACACATAACAAAACATTTCATTTCAGGTTACAAGATACCTTTCATAGTGAGCAAAGTATTATTTTTTTGTCAGAAAAAAAACAAACATTTAAATTTGGTTCAGTCTGAATGCTTTTTTTTTTTCTTTTAGTCCATTACTGAACTGAACAAAAAAAATCCATTAGTTGAACATTCACTTGGAAAAGCATTTATAGTCAACACTTACCAGCTTGGTATTGGATTCATCACAATCAGAAGACATTTACATATTGGCTTTCAGTATTAACTCCAAGACCTGGCTTTGTAAAAGTACCTAAATAAATAAATTCTATTTTTTCTAGTCATTTTTCTAGTCCTTCTTGTATTGTTTGTGGTAAGATTTCCATAATTCTAAAAACTTCATCTAATTCACAATAACATATTTTTCTCAAATTTGGCCTATAGTTGCAGAACCTTCATGTTCTTGCAGTTTTGCAGGAAAAGTATGCATCTGCTTCCCCTCATAGGATCTCACTGGTATTCACCTTGCAAGGCAATAATTCTTTGATCATGCTGATTTTTTAGGAATTGCAGCAAGTACCATCAGAAAATTTTTATCTAGCCTACATCTAGCCTGTCTGAAGTCTTTGGGAACCTGCATCAAACATAAAACACTTACCATCTGTAGAACATCTATCAAACAAGGAAGGCTTAAGAACTGTGGCTCCCTATGGTATAGCTTTTGGGAGGGAAAAAGCTGAGTAATATTGAACTTACCCCGATCTCTGACTTCACTTAATGCAGACTGTGAAGGTTGTATTTATAGTCAAACGATGATTCACTGTTACAGATATGGAAAAGCTCCAGTACTTCTGCCTTCAAAAACACTATTCCATTCTTTGTTTGAAAGGTAGCTCCAGTTATATCTACCTTCTCCTCTGAAAATGTAACTGTTAATCTTTATGTGCCTGGGTAAGATCAGGGATCACTAAAATATGACTCAAGACAGAGGATTTTTTGTATTTACAATGCAGAAAAGTTTCAGAGCTAATTAGTGGATTTAGAAACACAATTTCATTTCACAATTAATTTTCAGATTTGCTAGTTAGCTTTGAAAATCTCAGTTAGCATCTATAAGAAGTTTTGTGATTCTTCTGCTTTACCTGTGGTGGGTTAGACAGTCTGCATGTAGCAGAGCACACCCTAAATCCCATTCCTAGCTTCCCAAATGTTGATGTGCCCCACACAGCAGCACCACACCTTTGTATGTCAGTGAATTAGGCTTATATTTATTTATCTTGGAAAATAAACTGTCATTAAATGGCTTTGTTCTCTGCTATCTTCTGAAGATTCGTATTTTAAAAATTACTTAAAAAAATTATGCTAGATAACCAAAAATGACCCTACAGCAGTGCCCTCCAACCTTTTTATGGTGAAGATCACTCTGGCACCGCAGAAACTGCCATCTCCTGGCCCCTATCCTGCCTCCCCCCCACTCCCGAACAAGCCACCTGGGCTCTGACCTCACTCACCCAGCTCAGCCCAGGCAGCACCCCACGATCAAACAGTTGATCAAGACTGACTGGTTGGTAACCACGACCCTACAGAATGAATTAATTTATACTGCACTAAAGAATAGTTTCCAGAGAGTAAACATGCATTCTGTGTTCCTTCTGAGGGTAATGATGGTAAAATAGTGATTAGGAGAATTTTTCTTTTAAGAACTGATGAGGGGAAATCAATCTGTTGTAATATTATGTACAAGCAATCAGAAGCTATGTGTTGCATAATTGGTGCCACCAGTTATTACTGTATGCTGCACTGTATACCAGTGATTTTCAACCAGAGTGGCACAGCACCATGGGGTGACTTGCAATCCTTTCAGGGTGAGATGCCACACACTGTTTCCACTGTTGGGTGTGTAAACACAATTCACAAGATAAACTCAGTGATTTCAAAACAATTCTGACCTGTTGTGGACTTTCTGAGGGTTTTTTTCCATAATCAAAAATGGGTGAAAACTATGAGCTAGCATTTTCTGAGGGGTGTCTTGAGCCTAACAAAGGGTGCCTTGTATCTAAAAAGGTTGAAAACCCCGCTCTATATAGTGACTTATTTTTATAGGGATGACTTGTGCAATGTTAATTGTGTTTCTGTAGTTTAGCATAGATATCCCCTGAGTGAGAAAAATATGAGGCTTTAACATTGGATCTCCAAATATGCAGCTTTTTAATTGGGCACTTCCTCTAGCAAACCCCACCATGATTACTTCCATAGGGACTGGGATATTCTTGGAAGCAATGTACTCAATGAAAAGTGTATTTAAGTATTTTTGACTCTGGCACTTGGTACAGTTGGGGAGGAGCAGTGTAGCAACATCAAAAGGAAATGAAAATCTTGGACCTATTGTTGCTGATGAGTGGAAATGATGTCCCCCTTTCCAAAAATAGCAAGCTTCCATTAAAATTCAGAAGACACAAAATGACTGATACCATTACATGTAAATGAGTGTCAATAACAAATATTTTTATAATGTTATCTATTATTGATGCCTGGTGGTCTCTGGTCAGTAACCAATTTATTTGAAATAGATATTAAAGTAATATGTATTTATTTATTTAAGAATGAAATTATTTAAAAGATCAAAATTTTAATACTGTTAACACAAATACATTTGATGGTTTTCTATATTCATGTAGTGAAATAAAATGAGACTCAGATTTCTCTGTGAGAGAATTAGTGCTCACTTTTAAGTCCTGGTTCCTATTTTTTGTTTTATTTTATTTTTTGTTTCAGGGTTTTGAAGGTATTCCTGTCCCGAACTGCTCAACGCATTCCATACATGACAGGTGGCCGAGTGATGAGGATGCTGGCTGTAATTCTCCTGATAGTCTTTTGGTTCCTGATTGGCTGGACTTCTGCAGTCAGTCAAAACTTGGAGAGGAATATTTCACTCATTGGCCAGGGTCAAACATCGGACCATCTCATCTTCAATATGTGCCTCATGGACCGCTGGGATTACATGATGGCTGTTGGTATGTTGGCTTTCTGGTTTATCCTTTATTTTTTTCAAATTAAACTAATTTAATTGGGAAAAAAACCCTTAAAAGCATAATCGGACCTTATTACCTCCCCTGAAAAGCAGCTAGGGGAATAAAATGTTGACATACATGATTTTAAATGAAGAGAAAGATAAACCGCAATTCGGAATGTTGAGTATTGTCTATTTCAAAGGTTTGTAACCTTGACTAAAACAATGACATGATTGGATGCTCAAGAAAATCAGAGCTTCAGAAGAAGAAAGGCTGCATCTATCATGCACTTTTAAAAATATGGCTAGTAAACTGAGAAAATATGTGTGTGTTTGGGGATTTTTTCCCCGCTCCTACTCCACCAGAACTAGAGAGATCACACTTGTTTGCCTCTAAATCCAGTGGATTGCAGATTCACACTCATAGACAAATGTTTATTCAAGTGATATATGTCAAAATTGCTGTTTTATTTATTTATTAGGAATGTGATAATGTTTGAGACGACTATTGAGGAAATGACAACTCATCTGGTTTTATTGCACTTGTTGAAAGGGAAAGGTTTCATTGTGTTGTTATAATGGGCACTAGGCACAGAGTACCCAGGTCTTGGATATCAATACATAGGGCTACCTACCAATGTCTAGAAACCCTTAATATTTTCACACCTGTTTTATCATTCAAATGCTGCAACATGTGGAGGGCAGAAATCTATACTTGCTCTAATGGGTATTCTAGCTCTCTACCTCTTTACTCTTCCCCCTTTTCCATGTCAGCCCTCTATCAGTAAAGTTCTGCAACTGAGTGGCAAGGAAGAGGTGCTTTTTGTTGCTCCACAGGAGTAGTGAAGAGGTGGATTGAAGCAGGCTGTTGGCTATAGGAGTGGCTTCTCTAAGCGAGCTTAAGCTTGGTGCCATAGAAGCACACAGGAAGGTAGTCCAGAGTAAGATAGAGTAGTTCAGGAGGAGTCAACCATTCCTCTTGTACCTTGTTTCCAAGCTTCAGCAAGCCTGAATGAAAACCAGACAGTGGAAGTGTCCTATGTCTTATAATTTTGCATCCCTACTCAAGCCACAGTATATGTGCAGATATGTTTATACAGATGTGATCAGTAAGCTGTGAATCAGGATCACAAGTAGCAGAATGAATATATTACAGATTTTTGTTGTCAGTGATGATCTGAAATTGGATGTATTTTTAAAACCAGGAGGTTTCCTCTCTCACTGGCAGGAGATATAATACATAGTGTAGTATTGCACTCAGTTGTATCATTGACTACTCATTATTTCATTTTGTAAATAAACACATAATTGAAGATATTTGATTACAAGTCATAACACATGAAAACAACATATTCTATTATAAAAAATATCTCGTTTCCATTTAAATTGAGTGGAATGTTTCACAGAATACCAGTGAGGGTTCTGTAGCAGCCTTCATAAAACAAAATGCTAGTAATATGACACCTCACATTTGCACTCCAGTGCCAAATCTTTGTCAAAAAGTGGAAAGAGAACTGTCAAGTTTGCAGATTAGCAAAGGGAGAATTAACCAGGTTCTTCTGTAAAATCATAATTAGTTGAAGCCTTTTTCCTTGTAGATTATAGAAATAGGGCTTATAGAGTACCTTCCACAATAAGCGTTCTATCCTAACCCTTTAGGTACGGTAAATGTTTTACAGTTTAAGTTTACATTACATTTGACAATATGTAATGTATATTTAGACCAAAACTACACATCTCAATTCCTGACTCCATGCCTGCACTCAGATATACACTGATGAGAAAAATTAAAATTCAATGAATCAAATTCTGTTTAAATTATTGTATAACTTAATCTTCCATGAGCTTGGATAGTGGTGAGTGTCCGTGATTGGCTTATGTGTAGCTTAGACTCTGTTTCCTCTTTGTTCTCTTCAGTGTCACAGGTTGTGACACTTACCATGCTGACATATGTGGTGGCCCCACTGTAATTTGTGAGATTTCTTTTTTTAGAGAAAGATCCAAGGGCTTGAGCGAGAGAGTCATCCAGGAGCATTAGATTTCCTACCCTGAGCACATCCTGTCTCTGTTCCTGCAATGGCAGATTAGATTCCTAGGATAAAGCAGATAGAAACTAAGGGCTCTCAGGGAATTTGAGATCAAAGTGTAGTGGTACATTTTAGGAGAAATTCCTAGCAACTGAATATATCTTGGCAAGAGGTCTATAAGAACTTGTCACTAACTGCATCTTAAACCTAAGAATACAGTTTCTAATCAGGTCAATAGGTTAGCAAGTACCTACTTCCTCTGACCTTTTTGTCAGGGCCTTCTGGAAATTCTCCTGTTGGCCTATTTCATTCAGCCCACTGGCTGAGGGCCTGAAGTCATTCTCTATGCCCAGGAACAAATGAAAGACCAAGACTTGGTCTCATGGCAAAGCTGAAGTATGGGTTCTTATCTGTCCAGTCATATACATCATCCATTGGATTGCTGTGGAGCCCAAACTATGCACATAACTTCCTGCCTCTCCAAGGGTGCATTTGTTTACCAGAGCAGAAGTCTTTCCTTATCTAATTATGACTATAACCCTGTCAGATGCTAACTTTAGGTGATTTACCCTCCTAGCTATTTAGGCTTTGGTCTTCTCCCAGGTTTGAAACTCATTGTTTAGGGAGTGACACCTGAAAATCATTATTCTATTATTCAATCCTGACCCTATTATTACTTATACAAGTACATTTATGTCAAATACCAAGATTCATATAAACATAAGCATGGTAAGGCTGAAAACAGCTTGACATTACCTGTACATAAGAGTTACTGATATACGTACCATATCAGTAAAACAAACTCAAGAAAAGATGAAGAACATTTTACAAATACCGCACACTATTGTAGTTTCATGATGGACTTCTTTGTGGTTACAGCTTGGCTCCAAATAAACTATAGTTTTCAGTCCTCAACACTTCTATAAATCTGGCCCAAGATGACCCATGCAGAGTACTCGGAAAATGAGAGAAACACAGATTATGACCACCAGAGATAAATGTGATTTAAGTGATCTATGAAAAAGCAGAGAGAAAATCCAGTTTTCTAGGGTGGCATCAACCATGAGGCAGAAGGCAGGATAGATTTGCACCTTCTAAACTAAGTAAATCAGAGATCGATAGCATAAGCTTTTGTAAGCAGCAGGTTTAAGATGCTGTTGCAGCTTCATGTCACAGATATCGTGTCTATCCTGCCTTTTGCCTGATATTAGACTAACACGACTAACTACCTCTCTCTGCTCATGAGACCATCCTTTTTCTTGCAATTCATTTTCTCATTAACTACTTCCCTTTCAACTTCTGCAACAAATGATGTGCTGGCCTTAAATACAATAGCTCCTTTTGTTATACAATGCTGATTCACCCACAGAGCACAGTTCATCCCATATCCAGAATGAGGCTGAGCCACTGTACTTTTCATTTACTTTTCACTGGATGAAATGGGTCAATAGCACTAGGGAAGTTTCTGCCCCATTAGGAGAAGTAGTCCAAGCACTAATCCAGAGGCACCCTTTCTTCCCATCCATTTCACTGAGCTATATACTCTCTAGCGTGTTCTCTTTTTCCTGGTTCTACAATTCTCCTTCTCTTGGCTGCCCATGAGGTCTGCTTCAAATGAAAGATACTTTTCCCAGTTAAAATTACAAGGAAGACTTCATATGCACAAATCAGTTTATCATTGGAAGCAATGGCTCAGACTAGAACTCAAGATCCCTTCATATCCAAGTGGAGCAGCCATCCTGGGTTTCCCATTTCCTGTGTAAGTGCCCCAACTAGGCTATTGATCTAAAACATGAGAAGGTTCTTCTCCTTGTACCTAACACTTGTGTCATAGGTTTTTGTCAAACTACAGTTTTAGGGTTTACTAGGCCTGTGGCAGCCACGGTTGAGGTTTGGGCTCACCTTCCTGCCTGGCGGGTGGAGCTAGCTTTATCTGTGTTCTGGCTAGAAATTCCAGCCACAGGGCTCCATGCAATGGTCTGCAGTTTGCCAAGCCAGTTGCTTCTGGTCGTATGGCACTTTTGGCCCGCCCCCAGGCCTGCCTACAAATTTTGCCCCCTCAAACACAGGAGGCACCAGTCATCCCTGCTAACTGTGATGCAGAAGCATGGTGAAAAGCTACCTAGCCCCACTGTTTGCTCTAACATTATTGTGTGATACTTCCCTATCCTGTACCCTTCCCCAAGACTCCCCTCTTTAACCAATAAAGCTCTCCACTATTACAAGTGTGGTGAACTTGCGGGGAGAGGAGTCGGGTATGCCTTTGTGTCCCCTTCGTTTGACTGACTAAGGGAGGCTACTTTTTGTGCTTCAGGCTAAAGGAAGCACCCCAAGTTCTTGCAGTAGGTCAAGCACCCTTGAGGTCTGCAAGGCCTGTGTACCCTAGGGGGGCAGGACCTGGATACAGACCCCTGGGTGGTGGCAGCGGTTACCCCGGGCTTGTGGGTGTGCTCCAGGAAGGGGGGTGGCCGGACATGAGGCACCCCAGGAGAGGCATTCAGAGCTTGGTAGGTGGTCGGGGCACAGTGAGGTGGATCTCTCAGTGCAGGAGCACCCCCTACTGATCTGCCATACAGGGCAAGTGCACAGCACTGTTCCTGCCTGCTTAGTTGGCAAGTGGATACTTGTGCATTCATGCTGCACCCAGAATTAAATCTCAAACTGTGCCATAAATGGCACTTACCCAGATGGGTAACTGCTATGTGGGCACATAAAGTGAAATAGGATCTGGCCCTAAATGTGTTGAAGAAAAAGCATCTGACAACATAACAGTGTTCTTCCATAGCTAAGAAGAGCAACTGTATGAAAAGTTCTGGCCTGGAGCATGTTCAGTGCAGATGAAATCTTTGGAGAATGTAAATGCAAACTGTAGCAAGTCTTTTTTGACTATGTGCTGGTCAGAATTTCAAATCTATGCTTCAACATGCGGATGTTAGAATTTCTTCTAAAAAAAAAGACTTTTTAACATGGGAAGAAC